ACTTTAGTGAAACCCTCAGAAGTAAAGAACAACACTTCCTAGGATATGTTTATTCCTTCTCCTAATTTTCACAATCACCATTTTGGACATTCACCATTTACTTTAAGCCTCTAATACAGCCCTTCCAGTACCTCCCTCTTTGTTTCTCAAAGGCACCACCTGCCTCAACTGCTTGTCTTCTTACCCATTTACCATTTCCTTGCTTGTATTTCCTTCCTTCTTTCCCCTTCTTTGTAGACAGATGTGTTCCTCTTCTCATCGTGCTCTTTCTTTTATCTCTTCAGAGACTGATTTTTCTTATATACTCAACCTCCATTTCTCCATTAGTTCTTCCTCCACAGAACTTATACTAATTATTCCTAGCTTATAAAAACTTTCTTTTATTCTCCTTTATAATTTCAATACCCCACCTTTTCCTTTACAGCCAAGGAATCTTCAGTGTGTGTTTGACTCCTTTTCTTCACCTCCCATTCACTCCCCAATTCACTAGGAACTGCATTTTGACTCTGTAACTTTATTTAAATTGCCCTATTAATTGCTCAATGTAAAGATCACTTATCATCTGTCTTAGCTCACATGATCTCTTTCTGGCATTCTACGCTGTTGCCAATTTTCACCTTTCTCCAAGCTTTATTCACTAGATGACTATGAAAATACTTCAAATCTCTCCCTTTATTCGTTCTTAGAATCATGTACTAGGTTTTCTTTTTCTAGAGAAAGAATCATTACCTTTCTGGAAAAAATTAACTTTTAATTAGTTCAATACAAATAACTAAAAATAATTTTTCTGGCTTCTCTTAGTTGTTGGTAGAAATCATAGGCTTCACAGCACTAATATATTTCAGAGTAAGAATTGATAAAGTTGAAGTAGCACATATTTAGTATGCTTCTATACTTGCTTAATGCTATATTTAAGAATAACTCTTCTCCTCTGAGAGCACACAGAAAAACAGACAAAGCACTTACAAATACATTAAAGATATATGAGTATACAAAAAGTACATGCCTGTCCAGGGAATCTACACCAAGAAGACAAAGAAGCAATTAGTAACCATTCTTTTAATATTGAAAACTACAGGGCAGAGAGAAGGTAGAAGAATGCTATTTACCATCTCCTCCCTATAATAATTATTTTTATTTTGACTCTCACATCTAGGTTTGTACATAGTAGAGAGAAAGGTTTATGTTGTCTGTCCTCTATAAAGTCCTATGTGGTATAGAAAATTATTGATAACATCTTTAAAATAAATTTGGGCTAATATAAAACAATTGTGAGAGTATACTTCACCCATTTTTTTTTACATTTTATATATATATTTTTTGTTTTATTTTTTTTTATTAAATTATTATCTGTGTACATATTTTAACATCCCCCCATACATACCCTCCCTCCCCAGAGTTTTGTGTTCATTGGTTGTACTTATATGCATGTATACAAGTCCTTCGGTTGATTTATTATCTCCCCCAGATCTCCCTACCCTCCCCACTGTATTTGACAGACTGCTTGTTGTTTTACTGTCTCTATATCTATCTTTTGGTTCATCAGTTTATAATGTACTTTATTATCCATAAATGAGTGAGGTCATGTGGTGTTTCTCTTTCATTGACTGGCTTATTTCACTCAGCATGATGTTCTCCAATTCCATCCAGGTTGCTGCAAATGATGAGAATTCCTTCTTTTTATGGCAGCATAGTATTCCATTGTGTAGATGTACCATAGTTTTCTGATCCAATCATCTGCTGACGGGCACCTAGACTGTTTCCAAATTCTAGCTATTGTAGATTGTGCTGCTATGAACATAGGGGTGCATATATCCTTTCTGATTGGTGTTTCTAGTTTCTTGGGATATATTCCTAGGAGTGGGATTATTGGGTCAAATGGGAATTCCATTTTCAGTTTTTTGAGGAAACTCCGCAATGTTCTCCACAGTGGTTGCACGAGTCTGCATTCCCACCAGCAGTGCACGAGGGTTCCTTTTTCTCTGCAACCTCGCCAACACTTGTCGTTTGTTGATTTGTTGAGGTTGGCCATTCTGACAGGTTTCACCCATTTTTTTAAATTTAGAAGCTCTTGGTACATTACTTTACAAACTACACAAATATTTTGGTAAATATAGATTTAGAGATTCAAATGACATGTTTTAAATTATTTTTTTACAGTACATTTTGAAATCCCACTACTCATCCTACCTTATAAAAGAGAATAGATTGCCAACTCATAGAATAGTAATAATTATCATTTCAGCCACAAAATTTTGAGGTAATTTGTTTCACAACGAAGGCTAACTGAAGCAGAAATATTCCCTCAAATCGTTTGTGTATGAAAATTAGACTGGGTATAAGTAACTGGGCATCAACTTTTGGATGCTATAATCAAGTGGAGGGATATATCACATCCTAGTTGAGTCTCAAATACAATTTATTAAATGTAAACGTAAGATGAGGCAATGAAACACAAAGCGAATTTATTGGGTGAATCTATTAATTCATTAATTCAACAAATATTTTTAAAAAAATTATTTTATTGATTTTGTACAGAGAGGAAGGGAGAGAGATAGAGAGTTAGAAACATCGATGAGAGAGAGTCATCGATCAGCTGCCTCTTGCACACTCACCTACTTGGGTGCCCGCAACCAAGGTACATGCCCTTGACCGGAATCGAACCTGAGACCCTTCAGTCCCCAAGCCGATGCTCTATCCATTGAGCCAAACCGGTTTCGGCTAATTCAACAAATATTTATTGTATGCATTCTAAATATCAAGTACTATTTTAGGAAATGGAATAGATACTGTCCCTGCCTTTGTATCGTTTATAGTCTGAGGGAAAAAGTAATTAAGTAATTTCAAAAAGTTTGATAAGAAAGCACAGGTTGCTGCTCACTAAACAAACTTAGAGCATTAGGGAAGGCTTTCCAGAGGAAGTGGTCTTTAAGCTGACAGGTGAAGGATGAGTAGAAATTTAGCCAGAAAAGGGTATAGGAAACTGGGGTCCGATGACTACAAATATGCTCCAATGAAGGAAACATTACCTATGAAGGCTCAGAGATGAGAAAAACAATCACAATAATTTCTGTGTAGTATGTATATGGAAAAGCACAAGAGATGAAGGTTGGGAGTAGGGCAGCAACTAGTAAAAAACTTTGGAACTGTTGAATTTGGAGATGAAAAATGACATGATTGCTTTTAGACAAAGCAATATGAAAACTGAGTAGAGAGATTTGACAAAATCTGAGCTGTTATCAACAGTTCAGGTGAGAAAAAATTTTTAATTAGAAAAGTGATAAAGGGGATGGAGACATGGGTGGATTTAAGATTTTTAGGCGATAAAATCTCCAGATTTGATATATCTATAATAATAATTAGACTGGACAGCCAAAGGACCTCTGGACAACCTTCCAGATGAAGCTGGGGCTGTAAGGGCTGAGCCCCTTGCAAGAATTTCGTGCATGGGGCCTCTGGTAATTACATCTAGATAGTGAAAAAGCAGGAGTGCCTGGCAGGTGTTGCTCAGTGGTTGCCAGTCACCATTGGATTCCCAGTCAGGGCACATTCTGATAGTGGCCTCCACTCTAGTAGTGAGTGTGCTGGAGGCAACCCATTAATTCTCTCTCATCATTGATGTTTCTATCACTCCCACTTCTCCCTTCCTCTCCAGAGTCAATAAAAAAATACCTTAAAAAAAAAAAAAAGAAGCAGGAATTAAGATTATTTTTATATTTCTGGTGCTGGCAACTGAGTAAATGGAAACACTGAAAAAAACAACATATTGGAGGACTATGAATTTAAGGTACTTTAAGTTTACCAAGTGCAGTTGTCCAGTAAGTAGCTAGATAAAACTCGGCAGAGAAGCCTAGGCTGGAAATACAGATTTCAGAGTCATCAGCCATAGTTGGCAAGGGGAGGGGAAGGGGAGCGGGGGGAGCTCAGGGCGAACAGGAACAGCCCTGGGAAGATAAGTTTTCCTTTCACAAATATTTGATTCTATAAAATACACTCATGGTTTTTTGGTTTTTTTTAAAGACATTTCTGCATTATCCTTCACAATTTGGAGCAAGTGGAGATGAATATAAGCACAGAGATTTTAACAAGCAGGGTCAGAACAGTTGTCATAGCTTTACAGCAAACTGAGAAAGGATTACGGGCTAAGTGGTGCTAGGAAAGTGGCTGCTCTTGAGATATATTACTTGGGGACTGGCAACAGTTGGAAAAGCAAAAAGCCGTTGCTTCTATGTGGACAAAAAGCAATTCTGCCAGCCGTTAGAATTTGGGGCAGGGGTTCCACCCAAACTTGCCATAAGATGGGGCAATATAAAGTGGCCGAGATTATTACAAGAGGCACTAAGAGTCAAAGGGCTAAAAACAAGAGAATCTAAAAAGATTAGTTACTTGGGAAAAGACAAGTGAACCAGCGGCGAGGTAGGGTTTGCTGAGGTTCCGTAGGACTTGTTTTTCCGTCCATTTAAACGCTTTAAACACAAAGGGAAACTGGCTTAGCAGCCCCTCCCACACACCGGAAGCAGAACCTTTGCACTCCGGCGCATTACACATTCCTCCGCGCCGGAAGAGCGCGTCTCACCTCACTTCCGTGTGCTTCCCTCCACCCTCCAGGAGAGATCATGGAACTTCCCAGGTGTGCCGGTTGAAATCGTAGGACAGCGCGGAACTTTCACGGACAAGGAGAACAACCCTGAATTGCCGGGAAAGGGAGGAAGACGGAAGGTTGCAGGACGAGGCGTCGTGCTGCTGCGGAGGGATTCTGTCCAGGGTGGCGGAGGGATTTGACGGCACGTTCACTTCCGGAAAAGTCCCAGCTCTGTGAAGAGAAGCCCCGAAGGAAACAATAACAAACGAAGGAGGAAGCGATTCTGCGATTCCTGTGCTGAGCAGTTTTTGTCCCAGAAAATGAGCTTCGGACCCCGTCAGGGGACGTGAAGGAGTTCGGGGGGACTTCAGCCAGCCTTTGCCCACCTGCTTCCCCGCGGGGCCCCCTGGGCTTGGCCATGGCGGGCGCGGGGCCGGGGGGCTACGCGGCGGAGTTCGTGCCACCGCCGGAGTGCCCGGTCTTCGAGCCGAGCTGGGAAGAGTTCACAGACCCTCTCAGCTTCATCGGCCGCATCCGGCCTCTGGCGGAGAAGACCGGCATCTGCAAAATTCGACCGCCCAAGGTACCTGCGTCTGAGGAGAGGGGCGAGAAGGAGAGCGGGGGAGTCGATGCATTTAGTTTAGTTTTACTCTTCCGGTCCTTCTGTCTTTTCATATTCGCCCTCCTTTATTTCTCAACAACTAGAAGCTAAGTTTCTGGATTTTTTTTTTTTTTTTTTGCCTTGGTTTCTCCTGCGGTCTTATGTACGCTTGTCTGAACAGGGGAGTGGTGTCCCTGAGGCCTTTCCGCTTCGAACTTGGGAACTGATACTTTTCTTCCTGGATTGTGGGCAAGGGCTTTAAGTTTTTCCTCGGCCGGTGAGGTGTTTTGTTTGCAGTATTAGGGCATGATATGTCCTACCCTCCTGTACAAGTCATTTCAGTACGAGAATAAAAACTCCTCCGTCGGCTGTTTCTTTATCCAAGCCTTATTAATGCTTAATTTGTTAAATATTTGGAGGCCTTATCTCAAGGCTAAGGTTTCTTTAACAGTAATCTGAACTCTAGTTGTCCCACTAGGATGGTATCACCAAACAAGAACCCCAGACTAATTACTGCTGCAATGAAAAAAGTCCTCCCTGGGGAAGATAAGGGGCAGCATTTGTTTTTAAAATGTAGAGGTTTAGGAAGAGTTGTCAGTGATAGACGTGAAAGAAAACGAAATATTTTGAAGTTAGGAATGGTGGATTAAAGATTTACGGATCTCATTTACTGCAAATAACCGGGTTATAGGTTAATTACATCAATATTTAAGGTAGAGAAAGCAATTACTCCTACTTTGAGGCAGTTAATGTACCGAGAAGCTGAGTGATTTGTTCAAGGTCAAGAGTCTTTACCCGTTAGACCAGAGCTTTTCAAACGATGTTCTTGTCGCACCTGCACCAAGGTCAGCCTGATGCGTGTTAAAATGTAGGTTCCTCGGCCTCATTCCCGGGCCAGAATCAGTGTCTGTATGTGGAAGACCTAAAATATGCTTTTCCAGCAACTACTCGCAAATGATTAAAGTTTGGGAACCATTGCCTTAGTGCTTTTTTTAAAAAAAATATTTTATTGATTTTTTACAGAGAGGAAGAAGAGAGTTAGAAACATTGATGAGAGAGAGACATCGATCAGCTGCCTCTTGCACACATCCCACTGGGGACGTGCCCGCAATCAAAGCACATGCCCCCGACCAGAATCGAACCCGGGACCCCCCAGTCCGCAGACCGACGCTCTATCCACTGAGCCAAACCGGTTTCGGCGCCTTAGTGCTTCTTAAAGGAACACCTTGCTTTATGTTTTGTCTACTAATAATACAACTAAAATGTTAAGTACTCTTTCCCGTGTTGCATTTTAAAAAGCATCTATTCTCACTACAGACTACTATGATGATGTGCATCACAGTGAATAAAAAGAGAAGATGGGAGGGAGGAGAGAGGAGCTAATATAGCACCTACAAACTATTTCATTGAATATTCTTTGAAGCTCCAGGAGGTAACTAAAGTCCATTTTACAGATGAGGCAGGTCTGTGTAAGTTAAATAACTTATCAAATTTATTATTTGGGCAAGTAGCAAAGTAGATTTTGAACATAGGCCCATCTGTTTGCTTCTAATATCCAGACATGTTACTCCCATTGTGCTAAATGAATTTAAGATTATAGACTATCAATTGCAAGTAAAGCATTAACAGATAGTTGCTATGGTGAGCGATTATATAGGCATTGCCATCCTCCAAAAGCTTCTTTTAACATTTTTCTATCAAAATTACCTAATATTGACAAAGCCTTAAGCACTGCAGGTTTTCCTGAATCATATTTCTTACTGTTGCCTTCATGAATTAGAAACTATGTTCAAGGTCCCTTTCGGTAAAACAAAACAATACAAGTTCTGTTTTGTTTTTTTTAAATTAAAAAAAAGGTTGGAATAATATACCTTCTCTTTGTATGTCACCTTAATGAAAATTTAATTTCAGTTAACTTAATTTCAATATTGGTGGATTTCTTTAGTTTCCAAGGTAAGATAAATGTTTTTGATTACTCAGGTTTTCAAATAGATTTACTAATATTTTGGCCAAATCAAAGTATGTTCTCTAGAACCCTACTTGCATTGTGCTGTCTCATTTAGTTACACTGCATTTCCAATCTAGAAACTGTCCTTGTTCTATAGGTTTGCTTACTTATAAAAAAATTACTTGGATGCCCATTTATATAACATAGACTGTAAAGTGCTGTGTCACATTATTCATGAATGAAAAACATATCCAATTATATAAGTACTTAAATTTATTTTTAAATCTTTAATTGTACGCTTTTTGTTTTTTCATATTCTGCTTTTTTATTTGTAAACTTGAATGTTTATTAGACATTGCATTGAGATACATGAGCTCACTGTGTTGTACTTGACTAATTGGGGAAAGGATAATTGTGAGATGTAAACAGTGGTACTTGTGAGATTTGAGGACTTATAGATAAAAATTTTAATACTAAGAATATTAGAGATAAGTAATTTTATCTAAAAATATTACTCTTTCGCCTAACTGCTATGGCTCAATGGTTGATCGTTGTCCTATGAACCAGGAAGTCATGGGTCTATTCCTGGTCTGGGCACCTGCTTAGGTTGCAGGCTCAACCCCCAGTGTGGGGCGTGGAGGAGGCAGCTGATCAGTGATTCTCTCTCATTGATATTTCTATCTCTCTTTCTCCCTTCCTCTCTGAAATTAATAAAAATATTTAAAATATTACTCTTTCTGTGGTATAATAAAGAAGACTTATTAGTTCTCTTATGATATTTGATAATTCACTCCTTAGATTGAGGGAAGGAATAATGCATTCCTTGTTTATATGCCAATATACGTTAAAATAAAAATCTTTCTATTTAGGATTGGCAACCTCCATTTGCATGTGAAGTAAAAAGCTTTCGTTTCACGCCCAGAGTCCAGCGCCTGAATGAACTTGAAGTGAGTATTATATAGCAATTGCTGCCTCCTGATTCATTTTTTTTTTTTTTTTTTTTTAATGTTAGGGCTCTTGGTAGAGAACTTTGAGAAGTGCATGTACCAGAGTTAATGTTAATTGGGATTGAATGGAAGGACGTTTCTTATTTTAAAAAGTTTCATGTTGTTAATACTGTTTTTTCACTTAACTGGGATTATGGGAAATAATCTCTAGCCACATTTTTTGTAGTTGAAATATCCAGCTTAGTTAATTTCAGAAACCTGTAATTCTTTTTTTTTTTTTTTTAAATAAATTTTATTGATTTTTTACAGAGAGGAGAGAGAGGGATAGAGAGTTAGAAACATTGATGAGAGAGAATCATCGATCAGCTGCCTCTTGGCCCCCCCCCCCCCCCCCCCCCCCCCCCGGGGATGTGCCCGCGACCAAGGTACATGCCCTTGACCGGAATCGAACCCGGGACCCTTCAGTCCACAGGCCAACACTCTATCCACTGAGCCAAACCGGTCTCGGCAGAAACCTGGAATTCTTAAGTTGTACTTTCTTCAGCACTTGTTTTACTAAAAGTTTTTTTTGTTGTTGTTTTTATACTGTTGGAAGATTGCCTCCTGTGATCTTTGGAAAATAGTTTTATAATTTCTATCAAAAAACCTAGTTTTCAGAAGTCCCACCCTCCTCTCTTGATTAACAGAACTTTTCCAGAGGAATAAAGTTTTAATTAACTTTTAATTTTTTAAATTAAAATCTTTAATTAAAATTAACTTGATTTGTTAAGATCTCCCTTTACATATTACTCATCTCTGTTTAGATATTGTTGTTCTTGTCTGCCAGATTTTTTAGGAGATTTTTTAGTGTGATAGAAAACAGTTTCAGCATACAAAAGAGAAATCTTAGCTAAGGCTTACTATGTCACGTGAGGCTTTTTTCCCCTTGATGCTCCTAAAACATTTTTGGAGATTTTAATATATATCTTTTTCCTGTAGTCTCTTGTAATTAGATACTTGATGAAGGATTTTAATATAAGTGAGGTAGAGAACTGGTGTTCCGTAAGCATGTTATCTACAGATGAAATAGCCAGAATGCTTAGAAACAGAGTAATTTGATCTAAATTTTCTGGTTAGTTTAAATTTAAGCCATCTTCATCCAGAAAATTACTTTGGGTGATAATATGAGACCCGTTCATATATATTAGAGTACCTTTTTTTTGCCTTAATGAATAAACTTTATTAGAAGTATTTTGCTTTTTTATTATTAGCTTGCTTTACAAGGTTGGACTAAGCAATAATGAAAAATCTGAATTTCTTTAGAGAAATGAATACCTTTGTTAAGTGAAATACATTTATTTTCAACCATAATGTGGTTTTTATTTCTGATTTCTGTATTTTAATAATCTTAGGCAATGACAAGAGTGAGACTGGATTTCTTAGATCAACTAGCAAAATTTTGGGAACTTCAAGGATCTACTTTGAAGATCCCTGTGGTAGAGAGAAAAATCCTCGATCTGTATGCTTTGAGCAAGGTGAGGCTTTACTGGGTTTAGAAATTGGGGAATTTCTAAATTTATTAAATTATTTATTAAATTTCTGAATTTATTAAATTAGAAATTTCAAATACACTTGACAGAAAAGGAATCATTACTGCCTATGTGGGATTTGTTTAACAATGAACTGCAAACATGAATAGAAATGAGAGAGCTCAAAGTTATCTTTAAAATCTATTTTATTGTTTCTTATGAGATTCATATTTAATGACACTCAGATTAGTAGGCTCTCTTGTATACAATAATGGAAAAGAAAAGACACCAACCTAATAGTATCTTGTGTTGAGTATGTAATGTACTGTGCTGTGCTTGTCCTTTTTTCTACTTTTTAAAAAAATAAATATTTTATTGATTTTTTTTTACAGAGAGGAAGGGAGAGGGAGAGAGAGTTAGAAACATCGATGAGAGAGAAACATCGATCAGCTGCCTCCTGCACATTCCCCACTGGGGATGTGCCCGCAACCAAGATACATGCCCTTGACCAGAATCAAACCTGGGACCCTTGAATCTGCAGGCCGATGCTCTATCCACTGAGCCAAACTGGTTAGGGCCTTTTTTCTACTTTTTAATGTAAATTTGGTATATTAAAGAGGTTGATGTTATTCAACATTATTATGTATGGTGCATATTACTTATTTTAATACCTCTAAGTAGTGATAATAGTTAACTAAGGTCAGCATTATCCAGTGGAATGAATAATAGCTCACAAACATAAGGTTAAAGGATAGATTAACATTGCTATGATCTGAAGGAGGAGGATTTGTTTGTGTCTTTCTGTAATGAAATGGCTAAACAGAAAAAAAGTGTTTAGACTAATTTTTGCTTAAACTTAGGTTAGCTTTGTTTAACCTGGTAAACTTAGATTAACTTTACATTCTCTAATGTGAGGAAAATGAACTGACCTGCAACAGGGTATATAGTAATTATCTTTTTTTTTTTGTTTATTTTTTTTTTAATCAATCTTTATTGTTCATATTATTACAAAGGTTCCTCATTTCTTCCCCCCTCCACCAGGTTCCCACCCCACCCTCCGTCCCCCCCCATCCCCCATTGTCCTCATCCATAGGTGCAGTTTATGTTCAGTCTCTTCTTCCCTCAATTTCCCCAATAGTAAATCCCTTTTCAGATAGTAAATCAGTTACTTAGCATTTTCTCATATCAATAATACCTCCACATGCCCAATGATACACTTCACACAAAAGACATTTCCCACTAGGTCAACCAGCCTCATCCAGGCCCCACCCAAGGCACTCACAGATCAACACCCCCAGCCCTATACTAACTCAACACATCCAGATCTAAGCCTTCATCACTTGATTCAGCAGACCCTCAAGTTCCCACGAAAGTTTCCAGCCATGTCTGAGAAGCAGCCGTGGGGCAGGGGCAGGCAGGGAGCGAGCTGTTCTGGGCCTGGCTGCTCAGGGCCTGGCCTCTGTTGCTCTGGTTCATTCCACAACCAGCTGCTCCGGGTCTGGTCACTGCCGCTCCCGACCTAGTTGCTCTGGACTTGGCTGCTGCTGCTCCGGGCCTGGCCGCACCCGACCCGGCTGCTCCCCCGGGCCTGGCCACTCCCAGCCTGGCAGCCGCTGCTCCGGGCCTGGCCGCACCTGACCCGGCTGTTCTGGGCCCGGCTGCCCCGGGCCCGGCCGCTCCGAGCCTGGCCACTCCCGACCTGGATGCTCTGGGCTTGACTACTGCTGTTCTGGGTCTGGCAGCTCCCACCCCGGCTGCTCTGGGCCCGGCCTCTTCGGGCCCGGCCACTCCGGGTCTGGGTGTTCCTGGACTGGCCACCCTGGGCTTGGCTGCCTCCGCCTCATGCCTGGCTGCCACTGCCCCAGGTCTGGCTACTCCAGTGCTGGCTGTTGATGCTCTGGTTCTGGCTGCTGTTGTTCTGGGGCCTGGCCGTTGCTGCTCCGGGTCTGGCTGCCACTGCCTTGTGCCTGGCCATTCTAGGCCTGGCCGTCGCTGTTCCAACATTCTGTCCTTTTTTTTTCTTTTTAAAACGCATTTATGTTGCAATGTTGGCTGGTGAGTTGAGTTCTGACTTAGTCTTTGATTTTTCAAGATCTTCTTTGTATTCTTTCTTAAGTAATTTTACTATTATTTGCTCTCACTTGATTTCTTCACATTGAGAACTTCTTTGGTTTCTTCCTCCTTGTCCTGGGAGCTCAGCAGGTTGGCCTGTGGCACTCCTTTGTTCTCCGCGGGCTCCTGTGCTGCTTCAGCCTGTTGCCGGGACGGCGCCGCCCAGGAAGCAGCCCCCGGCCTTGGCTCCATTGCCCGAGCTCAGTGGTCAAAGGCTCAGGGGCACCCACGCCCCCAGGGGCCCCGTGGCCCGCCTCCTTGCTGGTGCCCGGTTGGCTGGAGTCCGGCAGGGGCTTCCGCTCCCCTCCACGTTCCCCCAGCCTGGAGCTTTTTTTTTCTCCTTCCCTCTAGGGAAGTCCAGCATCAGAGTCAACAGACTGTCCTCTGCGCGCAGTTTGCGCAAGTCCCACAGACTGTCCTCTGCGCGCAGTTTGCGCGAGTCCCGGGGGCCCGGCCTTTCGCTGCTCTCCCTGGACTCCACCTCACAGCCCCGTCTCCCTCTGCCTGAGCCTGGGTCCCCAGGGATTAGCCCAGAACTGGGGTTCGGAGCAGTCCGGACTGAGGCTCAGCGCCGCCGGAGGCCTTGTTTCTTCCGGCTAGGGCAACCCAGCATCAGAGTCAACATTCAGTCCTCTGCGCGCATTGCGCGCGACTCCCGGGGCCCTGCTTTTTGCCGTTTTTCCGCCTCACGGCCCCGTCTCCTCCCGCCGGAGCCTGGGTCCCCAGGGTCTGGCCCATAACTGGGGCTCAGCGCTGCTGGTTCGGGGGGGCTCAGCGCTGCCGGTTCGGGGGTTCAGCCCAGGCTGGGGGTTTTATTTCCTTCCTGCTAGGGAAGGAAAGGCAGCTCCCCGCCATCTCCTCCTCTCCGGCTGCGACCTCTCCGTGCGCGCGTGCGGGCGGGCAGGCGCGCGCAGCATGCCTCCGTACCTTAGGCTTTTTTTCAGCTCCTCTGATTTTCTTTCTGGTTTTCTCTTTCCTTCTTGTTGTAGAAATTTCAGTCAGTCGACTACCTGTAGCTCTGGGCAATGTCCACTCTACATTTTAGTTGTATTCCATTGAAATTGTTGTGTGCTGCCGCGGCTAGATGTCTACCCGAGCAGCCATCTTGGATCCTCTTATATAGTAATTATCTTGAAGACATATTTTGTTAATACTATAATAAAAATTTATGATTGCTCTAATTTGTGATTGAAGACAGCTTGATTATATGAAGAATTACAAATCAATATTTTTAAAATAATTAAAAAATCTTTACCTGAGGATATGCTTATTGTTTTTAGAGAGAGGGAAAGGGGGAGAGAGAGACAGAGGTATTGATAATCATGTGAGAGAGAAACTGATTGGTCGGTTGCTTTCCTGTGCATGCCCTGATCAAACCCACCACATAGGCATTTGGTCTTTACCAGGGAATTGTGCCCTTAGTCTTTTGGTGTATAGGACAGTGCTCTAACCAACTGAGCCACACTGACTAGGGCTCAACTTATTTCTGTGGCCTTTTATATCCTACTAGAGGCCCAGTGAACAAAATTTGTGCACGGGTTGGGGAGGTGTCCCTCAGCCCAGCCTGCACCCTCTCCAATCTGGGACCCCTCTGGGGATGTTTGAGTGCCCGTCTAGACCTGATCCTGCTGGGATTGGTCCTAAACCAGCAGTCAGACATCCCTCTCACAATCCAGGACTGCTGACTCCCAACTGCTTGCTTGCCTGCCTTCCTGATTGCCCCTAAACGCTTCTCCCTGCCAGCCTGATCACCCCCTAACCACTCCCATGGCAGCCTGATTGATGTCTAACTGCTCCCCTGCCAGATTATTTGCCCCTAACTTCCCTCCTCTTACAGCCTGGTCACCCCTAACTGCCCTCCCCTGCAGGGTTGATCACCTTCAATTGCCATCTCCAGCAGGCCTGGTTCCCCCCAACTGCCCTCCCTTGCAGACTTGGTCCCTCTCAACTGCCCTCCCTTGCAGGCCTGGTTCCTCCCAACTGCCCTCCCTGTTGGCCATCTTGTGGTGGCCATCTTGTGTCCCATGGGGGCAGGATCTTTGATCACATAGGGACAGCCATCTTGTGTGTTGGAGTGATGGTCAATCTGCATATTACTTTTATTAGTTAGGATAGAGGCCTGATGCATGGTTGAGGGCCAGCTGGTTTGCCCTAAAGGATGTCCTGGATCAGGGTGGGGGTTCCCTTGGGGTATAGGGTGGCCTGGGCGAGGGGCCTGTGGTGGTTTGCAGGCCGGCCATGCCTGCCGGCAACCCAAGCGGAAGCCATAGTATCTGGAATTTATTTACCTTCTACAACTGAAACTTTGTAGCCTGAAGTGGAGCCAAGCTTCCTGCTGGCTCCATGGCTGCCACCATTTTTGTTTGGTTTTATGTATCTTCTATAATTGAAACTTTGTAGCCTTGAATGGAGGCTAGGTCAGCCAGGACAGGTAGAAAGCTTTGCTTCCTCCGTTGCCAGGGGCAACCCTAGCCTGCTCTCTCCAGCTCCATGGCTGCCGCCATTTTTCTTGAGATTTATCCTCTAGGTTGGCAAGGGCAGGCAGAAAGCTTGGATTCCGTTGCCGGGGAAACCCAAACCTCTTAACTGCGCTCTGTGGCTGCAGCCAGTTTGGTTGGGGTTAATTTGCATACTCACTATGATTGGCTGGTGGGCGTGGCTTGCATATTACTCTTTTATTAGGTAGGATTAGTGCCCTGGTGCACAGATTTGTGCACATTGAAAGATTAATTAGAAGGTGGCCGATGGGGTAGGACTAGGCGAGACTTGCCGGACATGCCCTGGAGCCAGCCTCCCATGGTTCCTCCCCTTCCGGCTGCACTTGAAGAGCATCTGCGGAGTAGCAGAGTCCCTTAGGCAGGTGGGGTCTCTTGGCCTGGCCTGCGGGATTGGGCCAAAACTGGCTCTCCAACATCCCCTGAGGTCTCCTTTCTCTCTGGTTCTGGGATGCATTATCAAATCTTGGCAGCTCCTGTGTTGAGCGTTTGCCCCCTGGTGGTCAGTGCGTGTCATAGTTACTGGTTGTATGGTTGCTTAGCCTTTTTTGTACTATCTATACTAATAAAAGAATATGCTAATTAGGCTGGGAGACCTTGCAGGAGACATTTTTCTGGACAGTGGCGGGGAGTGGGTGACGTTGGGGGTGATCAGGCTGGCGGGGGGGGAGGGGGAATTTGGGGGCAAGCAGGCCAGCAGTCAGATTGGTTAGGGGCACCCAGGCGGGTAGGCAGGTGACCGGTTAGGAGCCAGGAGTCCTAGATTGTGAGAGGGATGTCTGACTACTGATTTAAGCCCACTCCCTGTAAACTGGCAGTAGGTCATCCTTCAGGCAGCCCAGATTGGAGAGGGTGCAGGCCTGTAGAGGAACACTTCCTCCTCCTTTCCCCTCCCCCCTGTGCTTGAATTTTATACACTGAGCCACTAGTCTTGAAATAATTTTTTTTTTCACATTTAAATTGCAGAGTTAATTTTGGAAGATTTCACTTTCAAGGAAAAAAGTAAAAATAATTATATTTAAATTACAATTAATATTTTCAGCTGCCTCCTACATCCCCCTACTGGGGATTGAGCCTATAACCCGGGCATGTGACCTTGACTGGAACTGAACCCAGGATCCTTCAGTCCTCAGGTTAATGCTCTATCCACTGAGCCAAACCTGCTAGGGCTAACTTTAAAAAATATATATTTTATTGATCTTAGAGAGGAAGGGAAAGGGAGAGAAGGATAAAAACATCAATGATGAGAGAATTGATTGGCTGCCTCTTGCACGCCCCCTTCTGGGGATTGAACCTGCAATCCAGACCTGTGCAGGAATCAAATCTGGGATCTTTCAGTCTGCAGACTGACGCTCTATCTATTGAGCCAAACCAGCTGGGCTAACTTACTTTTTATGATACATTTGAAAATTAATATCAGGTCAAAATTCTCGAAAAATTTTGTTTTATGCCAAAAATTCTGGGAAGTATAATTTTATGCTAAAATGTAATTCTAGGTTTATTTTATCAGTCATGTAATAATGTCAGTAATTAAGCACTGTGCTGAGAATTACCTAGTGCAGGTGTGTGATACCAGAAGGTAAATATAGTGAATTTGAAGGATGGGTTTGTATCTTGTAGGAAACCATATGGGTAAAAACAATTTGTTTTAAGAATTTTATTTTTTAACAATTAAAAAGTAAACATTAGTTTTAAATTAGATGGTAAATTAGGTTGCATTCTTGGTTTTATAGAATTATAGGATTTCAAAATTAGAAAGGGGCTTTGGAGCTAAACTAATCTGAATACCTAGTTGTTCACAATTCTATGTAACATTTAGTCAGAGTACACGAATCTACTTTTTTCCTTAAATAATTTTTTCTTTCTTTTCAGATTGTTGCCAGCAAAGGAGGTTTTGAAATAGTCACAAAAGAAAAGAAATGGTCTAAAGTGGGTAGCCGCTTGGGATATCTTCCAGGAAAAGGAACTGGGTCTCTTTTGAAGTCACACTATGAAAGAATTCTCTACCCATATGAACTTTTCCAGTCTGGTGTCAGCCTTATGGTGAGATGCATCACTTTATTTTATTTATTTTTTTTGAGTAGATAAAGCCAGTCTGCTATGTACAAACTTTAGACTGTGTTCACCATAAGGAAGCAGTTGACTGTGCATAGAAAGTTGAAAAAGATTTCTCCATGTACTAGGATTTTGGGGAGCAAGGTATAGTTTAAAAAAGTTATTTTTGGTGGTTTACAAAATAAAAGCTAATGGGAGTGAAGGCTGTTTTTCTTATTTATTTAAAACAAAGTCCTTTATACTTTTTGAAAAATTTCTCTTCTTTAAAAAAAAAACCAACAACATATTTTTTTTATTGATTTCAGAGATCAAGGGAGAGGGAGAGAGAGAGATTGAAATATCAATGATGAGAGAGACTCATGGCTATCCTCTGCAGGTCCCTTACTGGGTATCAAGCCTGCAACCCTGCATGTGCCCTTACCAGGAATTGAACCTGGGACCCTTCAATCCTTAGGCTAATGCTCTATCCACTGAGCCAAACCAGCTAGGACAAATTCCTCTTCTTTGTTTTATGTATTTTTTAACAGTTTTATTGAGGTATAATTTACATATCATAGAATTCACTCATTGTAGGTACTCAGTTAAAAGCTTTAATTAATTATATTGCACAATCTAGTTTTAGAACACTTCCCTCAGCACAAAAAGTGCCTTTGTGTTCATTTTTTTTTATTTTTTATTTTTCCCCCTTATTTTTAATTTTTATTTTTTTAAAATATATTTTATTGATTTTGTACAGAGAGGAAGGGAGAGAAATAAGAGAGTTAGAAACATCCATGAGAGAGTCATCGATCAGCTGCCTCTTGCACACCCCCTACTGGGGATATGCCCGCAACCAAGGTACATGCCCTTGACCGGAATCGAACCCGGGACCCTTCAGTCCCCAAGCCGACGCTCTATCCATTGAGCCAAACCGGTTTCGGCTTCCCCCTTATTTTTTAAAATTAAATTATTATCTGTGTATATATCTTACCATTGCGCCCCCCCTCTCATACATACCCTCTCTCCTCAGAGTTTTGTGTCCATTGGTTGTACTTATATGCATGTATACAAGTCCTTCGGTTGATCTATTATCTCCCCTTTGTGTTCATTTATAGTTGGTTCCTGCTTCTACCTCCAAACCTAGACAATTCTTGACCTATTATTTGACTATCGTTTTGTCTTTTGTAGAAATTTCATATAGATGGCATCATACAATATGATTTTGTGTTTGGCTTCTTTCACTTAGACTAATGTTTTTAAGGTTCATCCATGCTTTGGCATGTATTAGTACTTCATTCCTTTTTATGGTTGAATGATACATAGTTATACCACATTTGTTTGTTCATGTAATAGTTGATGGACAGTTGGGTTCTTTCCAGTTTATGGTTATTATGAATAATGCTGTGAAATCAATTACAAATCTTTATGTGGACATATGTTTTCATTTCTCTGGGTGGATATCTAGGAATGGAATTTCTGGGTTGTATGGTAAGTTTATGTTTAACTTTAAGAAACTGCCAAACAGTTTTCCAAAGTGGCAGAATCATTTTACATTTGCATCAGTAATGTAGAGGCTTCCAGTTTCTCCATGTCTTTGTCAGCAGTTGGTATTGTCAGTTTTTTTGTTTATAACCATTTTAGTGGGTACGTAGTGGTATTTCGTGATTTTCATTTCTCTAATGACTAATAGTGTTCTGCATCTGTGTATTTTCCTTTATGAAGTGTCTGTTGAGATATTTTTTATTGGATTGTTTCTCATCTTATATTTGTTCTGAGTTCTAGATACAAGCTCTTTATCAGAAAATGATTTTACAAATATTTTCTTGTCTGTAGTTTATCCTTTCATTTTATAATGGTTTTTATTTGAAGAGTATTTTGTCAACTTTTCTCTCCCCGTTTGTGGATGGTATTTCTGTTATAACTAAGAAATCTTTTCTTGACCCAAGACCACAAGGATCTTCTTCTTTATTTTCATCTAGACTTTTAAGTTTTAGCCTTTTTTTGAGGTCTTTGATCCATTTTGAATTCTTTTTGTATACAGTGTAAGGTAAAGGTATATACTTTTTTTGATTGGCACTGGGTGTATGAATATCAGTTGTACTAGCACCATTTGTTTAAAAGACTACCCTTTACCCATTGATTTCCTTTTAGCACCTTTGTTAAAAATAAGTTGACTTTAAATATGTGGTTATATTTCTGGTCTCTGTTTTGTTCTTTGATCCATTTGTTTACCCTAATACCAATACTATGTTGTTTTGAGTACTAAAGCTTTTTAGTACATTCTTTTTCTTTTATTTTTTATTGAATTTATTAGATGACATTGGTTATTAAAATGTATGATAAATTTTGATACCTGATAGTGTAAGTCCTCAAACTTTATTCTTTTTTTTTTTTTCTTCATGATTTCTAAACACTTTGCATTTCCAGATAAATTTTAGGATCAGCTTCTCAATTTCTACAAAAGCCTGCTGGATTTTTAATAGGGATTATCTTAAATCTATAGATCAATTTGCTGGGAGAATTGTCAACTAGCTTCATGTAGTATTAGGGATTTATTGGAAATTTGCTATTTTTCTTGAGTCTCCAATTGGATCTCTTATCAGTGAATCTGCTCTCTTTCTGTGCTCTGATTCTTTAGGGTGTACAAATGCCTAATTTAGATCTTAAGGAAAAAGTGGAGCCTGAGGTTCTTGGCACTGAAATCCAAACTTCCCCAGAGCCGGGCACAAGAATGAATATTCTGCCAAAGAGAACAAGACGTGTCAAGTCTCAGGTATACATTTCCATGGGCCATTTTTAACAGGAATTTTAAATGCATCACGGTGCATCTGGTTATGGGAAGTCATTCAAATATTGTTATTCATTAAAATTTAAATAGACCTATCTTTAAATTACTTTTGAGATGAATGGGGAAGAAATTATAAAATTCAGTCTAATTTGTTTTTTGATAATTTTTGAATAGTTTTAGACAGGAATGGCAAATAAGAGGGTGACTTTGGATATTGTAGGGTCAGTTTTCTAGACATGCTCATGAAATGGTTATCAGAAATGAGAGGAGTAGGAAAGAGTGGTCTTGTATTTCACTTGTCATTCCTTTAAGAACCAGAATATAAGTTTCTTAGTGTCTTGATCATTTCAGTGTAACTTCTATACTGTTCTTATAACCTAAAATAATTTCAAAGCCTAATGGATGCATCAGAGAAGTGCCCTAATTTCTTTTGGTCTGCTCTTCCTTACTATTCCCATTTCTCTGTGGTCCTAAAAGTTGTATATTTTTTTAGAATTCTCACCGAAGATATGTTTTTATTGATTTTTAGGGAGAGAGCAAGGGAGAAACATTGATTGGTTGCCTCCTGTATGGATCAAACCCGCAATCTAGGTATGTGCCCTGATTGGACATCAAGCCAACTGGCCAGAGCCCCATAGTTGTCTTTTTTAAGGTTTTTGTTAAAGACAAGTCAATAAGCTTGGACAGTGAGGTGCCCTTAGAACTCTTAGATGTGGTCCTTTTAAATTAAACATAAAAGTAGATAAAAAATACAGCTTAACTGGATCTGATCATTGACTTGAACATATCTAAAAAAATAATGTGTTGAAAGGATAGGAATGATTTACACAGAAAGAGGGAATCAGAAGGAAGGTAGGTCATGACAGAAGACACTGTATCAAGAGACACTATCTGGCCGGCACCGGTTTGGCTCAATGGATAGAGCGTCGGCTTGGGGACTGAAGGGTCCCGGGTTCGATTCCGGTCAAGGGCATGTACCTTGGTTGCGGGCATATCCCCAGTAGGGGTGTGCAAGAGGCAGCTGATCGATGACTCTCTCTCATTGATGTTTCTAACTCTCTATCTCTCTCCCTTCCTCTCTGTATAAAATCAATAAAATATATTAAAAAAAAAAAAAAAAAGAGACACTATCTGGGTGGTAAGGAGTCTTGTCACTGTAGAGGCAGGCTAGTGATATTTTATCTTGCTTTTTTAGAGTTCGGGATATCTCTCTTTCATACCATGTCTCCTTCCATTGTTCTGAGTTTATGCTTATTAAATAACCTCTTGATATAATCAATTAAGATCCTTGGGTATTTTGATAGTAGAAAGATGGGAGTGTCTTGGATGGGAATATGAATTAAATGAGAATTTGTTGGAAGGTGATAGCTCTATTATAGATTAGTAAACTCTGGTTTAGTAATTAAGTGATTTTTATTGTTATGATTGATATTAGAAGTTCTGATCACTTTGGGGTCATGATTTATTTTAAGATCTGAAACACTTGAAGAGTAGTCTTTCTGACATGATGGTTCAACTTTGAAGAGTTGCCCCTGGTGGCTCTGCCTATTAATCAATTGCCAGCTTGTGATGAAATTCCTTTTGTTATTTCTTCTAAAACCATGAAAAAGTTCTGCTTACTTTTAAAATACCTTTCCTGATATAAGAATAGGGACTACATAGAATGTTTTCACCCATTGTAATAATGGTTATTAGAGTCACATTGGTTGATATCAGGTGGAAACTAGAACCAGTTCAGCGTTTGCAATTAAGAATTTCTTAAAATAATTTATTATTGCTATTAGAGGCCCGGTGCACGAATTTGTGCACGGGTGGGGTCCAGCTGGTCTGCCCTGATTGGCATGGCTGATCAGGGATGGGGCTGGTTGGGGGGAGGGGCTGTGGGCGGTTGGTGGACTGGCCCCACCCCCTGGTTGAACTACCTGTGGAACTCCTGGTTGAGGGGACACTTTGCATATTAGCCTTTTGTTATATACTAGAGGCCTGCTGCACAAAATTCTTGCATGGTGGTGGTGGTGGGGGGTCCTTCAGCCTGGCCTGCACCCTCTCCAATCCAGGACCTCTCGAGGGATGTCCACAGGGATCAGTCCTAAACTGGCAGTCGGACATACCTCTAGCAATCCAGGACTGCTGGCTTCTAACTGCTCACCTGCCTGATTGTCCCTAACCACCTTTGCTTGCCTGATCGCCCCTAACTGCCTCTGCCTTGGCCCTGCACCTGGGATCCAGGATTCCCTCTTCGGCTGGCTGCAGGCACCTGGGACCTGGGCTTCCCTTCCTCTGGCTGGCCACAGGAATCCAGGACCTTGGCCAGCTTCACCTGGACAGTCTGCAGCCACAGGGGACCGTGGGTGGGTGGCTTCGCCCAAGCCAGCTGCAGGTTCCCAGGATCGTGGACGGGTGGCGCCTGGCTTTGTCAGGAAGGATGTCTGGAAGGCTATCTGGAAGATGTCTGGTCTATACCGCCCCTTTATTAGTATAGAGGATATTATCAGTCTGCCTTAAATCTAGTTTTCTTTCTCAGAAAGGAAGAAAAATGGCTTTCTGGTAGAACTCTTAACAACTTGCCCCATGCACAAAACTGTTGGTATTTATTTTTCATCTTTGCCTATCTATATGGGCAAAGTGTACCTTTCTCTCTAGGGTATCTACTTCCATCCTTTTTAGCTTTTTTAGTGATTTCAGAATATCAGTCATGAATTCTTTCTCTTCTGCCTCCTTGTCTGCTATATATGTGTTCAAATCTCTATCATCCTAAAAACAAAAACCATCTTTGTAGATAGTGCTTTACTTATTGACTCTTCGGGGACAAGTTTCTTGAAAATAGAGTGTATATTGTTCACTTTTCTCAATATCTGTTTAATTTTTATATTTTGTAATTGATTGACTTTGAGCCAAATAAGTTTGCTGAAACTGCACTGTCCAAGTTACCACTGAGTTAGTAATTGTCAAATGCAAAGGCCCGTTTTCATTTCTTATTCTACTTTATCTCTGGTCATGTATACATTTAGTATGGTAGTTGATTCCTCTCCTTGAAATTTGATTAATTTTATTTTTCTTTGACTTCTGTGACACCTCTTGGTTTTCCTCTTCACTCTGATCACTTTTCAGTTATCTTTGTAATATCCTCTCTGCTCCCCCCCCCCCCCCCCCCCCGTCTTTTTGTGTGTGGGGTTAATCCTCACTTGAGGATACTTTTTCCATTGCTTTTCAGAGACAGTGGAAGGAAGGGAGGGAGAGAAGGAGGGAGTGAGAAAGAAGGAGGAGAAGGGGGAGGGGGGGGAGAGAGAGAGAGAGAGAGAGAGAGAGAGAAACAACATCCATTTGAGAGACACACATCGACTGAACATCATCCATCTGAGAGAGATACATCGACTGGTTGCCTCCCGGGGTGGGGAATGAACCTGCAATGTAGGTAGGAATGTTTTCTTGATTGGGGAATCGAACCCATGACCCTTTGGTGCATGGGCTAATGCTCTAACTTCTTAGCACACTGGCTAGGGCTTCTCTCTTTGCTCTTCACATGCTATTTTTAGTCCTTTCCTAGCTTTATTCTCCCATGTGATCTTATCTGCCCTGTGATTTCAATTAACACCTATACACTGAGGAATCCTAAATATGTCTCGAGGGTGTGTGTGCCCGCACACGTGTGTACCATGTATACACACATGTGCTTCTTTGTGACCACAGCTCAGGCATGCTAAATTCAGTACATCTCAAACATTATCATCTTTTCTAAATCTGTTTTTTCTTTAATATTTTATATCCTGGTGACATTGATAAGTACAAAAGCCAGTAGTCTTTCAAACAAGAAACAGGTTATGAAAGTTATCCTACTCCTCCTTATCTCTATCACATCACTTGTCATATTCTAATTGTTTGTTGTTGTTTTTAATCCTCACCTGAGGATATTTTTTTCCACGAATATTTTCCCCATTGATTTTTTAGGAAAAAAAATGGAAGGAAGGGAGTGGAAGAGAGAAAGAGAAACATCAGTGTGAGAGAGACTTCCCTTCCTCTGGCTGGCCACAGGAATCCAGGACCTTGGCCAGCTTCACCTGGACAGTCTGCAGCCACAGGGGACCGTGGGTGGGTGGCTTCGCCCAAGCCAGCTGCAGGTGCCCAGGATCGTGGACGGGTGGCGCCTGGCTTTGTCAGGAAGGATGTCTGGAAGGCTATGTCTGGCTTTGTCAGGAAGGATGTCTGGAAGGCTATGGATTTGTTGCAACTCAGGTGTAAGCCCTTCTCCAGAAATCAAAGTGAACTGAGATCCTTTGGTATGCAGACTGGTGGTCTAACCACTGAACAACCAGCCAGATCTATACTCTGTTTTTTCATCTGTGCCTCTAGAGCAAGCATGTCAAACTCAAAGGCTAACATGGTCCAAATAAACTAGGTTTAAGTTTATGTGGGCTGCAAAACAATTAAAACTTCATTTTCCATAGAAACTTAGGTTTATTTCAATAGAGACATACTGAATTCAAAGGGCTGAAGTAAATGAGTAATCGTTACCATAAAATGATAAAACACTTTAAAAAAATTAATTTTTTCTTGAACATACACTTATTAATTTATGCAGTTATCAGACACTGATAACTGCATAAATTAATAAGTGTAACGCAAATAAACCTATTTATCTTCAAAAGCGAAATATTTCCTGTTGCACACTCCAAACAAATAAGTCCAAGACTAATGATGTGGCAATCGGCTGCTAAAATATTGGGTGCTAGCACTAGTGGAGAGAAATGGTGCACCTGTGCATAGGTGCTCAAGGGAAATGAATGGAACATGATTATAGTGATCAGTCATTAGTGAATGTTGTAGTTCATTATTAATAACTAGAGGCCCAGTGCATGAAATTTGTGCACGGGTTGGGGGGGTGTCCCTCAGCCCAGCCTGCACCCTCTTCAATCTGGGACCTCTCCAGTGATGTCTGACTACCTGTTTAGGTCCTGGGATCGGGCCTAAATGGGCAGTTGGACATC